AACTCATTTATTAGTGATAATGATTACATTTTTATTTTATAATTTTGTATTATAAAATATTATTGCATTGCGCAGGCAAGAAGCTTAGCCAATTAACAGTCAGTTTTTGTATAAATCAGTTCTCTTTATTTATATTTTTAATTATGATATTTGTACAATGTATTTTACAACTTGGTTTACAATGTATGAACTGGCAAACATCATATTCATCTATTTGAAAAATTGTTTTTAAAATCAATGATCAGGATTTTTACAACACACTTGTTCTCAATCAAGTTGTGCAAATACATTGTACAAGTAACTTTATTCTTATATTTTTTTAGTGCTTTTATTTGGACCTAGACAAAAATAAAAATAAAAAATCGATCGAACCGAACCGAACCAACTCGTGTCGGGTTGGATTGGTTATGGGGTAAGACTCCCAGTGGCTAATCAACCCAACCCAACTCCCCCTTTTTTTTTCCATTTTTTTTTTAAAGAATTTCAATTTAGAGTTTTTAACTTAAAAATAAAAATAAAAACAAAACATAAATCTTAATTTTGATTTGTGTTCCCAAAAAAAATAAAAAATAAAAAATAAAAGAGAAGAAATTAAACCCTAATCATCCTGTAGCCACCTTTACAGTGTCGTCGTCACCTCTTTCGTCGAGCCTTCAAACTTGATCATCCTTCCATTTATATACTATTTGTATCATGTCCTAGAGGCTGAACCCCTCTGAATGGAGTCATATATGCATTTTTATCTCTCCAAATGCTTACTATTGCATTAAGAATAATAAAAAATTACGTTTTGAATTACTTTATCTAAAAGGATAAAAAAGTAAGTAATTCAAATATTATAGAAACAATAAATTACTTGCAAATTACCTTTAATCACTTTTAGAGCATGTTTGATAGAAATTTTAATCCAATTAACATCAATTTTTTTTACCGTTATTTGACTTATTTCACTATTTCAACCGTCATTTTTGAAATTTTTCTCTCACAGGTATGACCCATTTTATCTCTAATGATCAAAAAATAAATTAACAAAATTCTTACCAAACATGCACAGTTTTGTCATACTTACCCAAACAAAATAATGGAAAAATAAAATCCTAACAAAGATATTATCCCACTTGTTTAATAAATTATAAATGCACAGGAAAGATAAGGTCAGTCGCTTGGTTCTCTGACTTATAGACGTACTCGCAAATTGTCTTTAAATTTTAAAATATCTATATTTAGTCCTTAAATTTTATATCATTTATTCCGTTAGTCCTTGAGAATCAATTTTATGATCCACACAAAAAAAAAAAAAAATTAGATTGGTGGGGGTAGAAAGATTAAGGTAATCACACAAATTATATATCAACCTTTTGTTTGATCCTCATTATTTTTAAAATACATTTTTCTTTATTTTCTTTTCAATTACACATTTTTCAAAAACTTTTTCTTATTTTTTAACCACATATTCTCATTCAGTCTACAATTCCAAAATGTATTCTTACAATAAAATGGGACTCAAACAGGCTCTAGGTTCTAATCACTTGTATTGGAATTATTATTACTACTACTACTACTACTACTACTACTACTACTACTACTACTACTACTACTACTACTACTATTATTATATTGAAATGATTAATATCATAAATACCTCATATTGCTCGGAACAATATTTTGGTTTCTGGATTCAATTTGGGAATGGCATCCACCAAATTTATTTGTAACTAGTAGAATGGTCTATCACAATTCATCAAAGAAACTTGTGTTCGTTCACATGCAAAATTCTTATACTTGTTAAAAAAATTCTTACAATCGAGTCCAAAAACGTCTTTTGTTTTTGTTAATTTTCATATAATATATCAAAACTAACATTGAGATTGTTGGAATGTGGAAGTACAATTACCTAAAAAAAAAAAAAAGTTTGTCTAGACGTTCATGTGTATATTATATCAAGAATAAAATATTTGAACTTTTATCTAAATTCGATTATTACTTCATGAACTAATTTTAAATCAAGAACTTCCAGTTTTTTAATCATAATCTTCGAACTTTTAAATTCTAGAATTTGATGCTTCAAACCTTCAAGTCTTTTATGATATTTTTCAACGTTAATACTACACCGGTGGGCAGACACCTCATTTTAACTAAATTAAGAAACTAATTTTTGGACCGAATATGTGAATAAAATAAAAAGAATAAATTCTCTCTCTCCCTCCCTCCCTCCAAATCTAACCACTATTAAACTATTGCATTCAACTTTGTTGTGTTCAATTGGATATTTAGGTTCTATCTAATCTCTATTTATAGAGATAACATAGTTCCAATCCATTAGATTAACCGTTAAAAAAAAAGGTTATAATTAAAAATAAGTAATTGCAGTTGCAGCACTTAAACTTTTCATTTTTTTGCAAATTATATTCAAACTTTTTATATGTGTCACGTACAATCTCAAACTTTTAAAACTTTATTTTCATAATGTTTTAAAGGTTCGGGATTGTCGATGGTACATGTAAAAATCTTTGGATATAACTATTAAAATCAAAGGTCAAAATATATGTTATCCTATCATCTGTTAAATTAATTGTACATGTAACATAAGTGGCCTTGCAAAATAGGCCTAGCAGGTGACTCTTAGCTGCCTAAACTACATTAAGGGCCTGTTTGATAGGGCTTTTTTCAAGGAACTTCGAAATGAAATTCCATTTTCCATGTTTTTGAGTGTTTGATTTGCCAAATTTGAAAAGTAATTGATTTTCGAGCTTTGCCCTCATGTAATCGGCTTTTCTTTGGTTTTGAGGAATTTACTTTCTCATGGGATTGGTGGAAATTGATATTCCATACTACATTCCTTTTTTTTTTTTCAAATTTTTTTTTAATAAAAATTTTTTTTAGGGATTGTAAAAGAGGATATTCCTTAAATTGATAATTTTCATATAAAACAAAACTAAACGAATATCAAAATATAGATGATTTTTGGATTTTTTTATTATTAATTTATTTATTTTTTGTAATGGAAATAAATTTTAGGAACAATTGTAGAAGTGAATATCCCTTAAATTGAAAATTTTCATGAAAAACAAAGTCAAACGAATACCAAAAGATACTTTTATTTCAATATTTTTCAGATGAAAAATTATACCAATCAAACACTATTAATTGACAATTTCCAATAAAATAATTTCTAAACAATTCAATCCCCTAGAATTCGTTTTCTTTCTACTCAAATTTCATCTTTACAATTAAACAGACCCTAACTAAGAAGGATAGACACAGACTATGTTTAAATTTGATCGTGCTTGAGGGCAATGCTTTTTTACAGGGACATTAAATTATGGATATATTATTTCTGATTTATAATCCATGTACTTTTTATTTGTCTCACCATTTGCTTTGAATGAGCTATATTTTCAAAGTATGAATTTTTTTTTAAAGCAGTTAATTATCCGAAAATAAATAAATTGATGGTTAACGTATGTAATCATGATACAGTGGATCATAAAAAAGTCATTAAATATCGCATGCATAATACGTGTTCTTAACCAATAACATAAGTAGTAGTCATTTGTTGACACTTGACATGCAAAATCAAACTTTTTTCTCAATCAAGTATTAATTCTTCTACAACACTTTTGAGGTAGTATTTTTCAATTTTTTTTTTCGACTAGTTAAATTTTTATTCAGTGCCGCTTTGGGATTAGGCACTCACAGGCTGCTACCTAGTGCCCCAAATATGAGGACCCTCAAAAAATTAAGGCTCATTTGTTTTTGTTTTAAAGCAGATTAATCTTTTTGTAATATATTCCAAGTTATTTTTTAAAGCCCAATCTTTCGACCATTGAAAGTTAGAGCATACGTTGCTCCACCTTCATATATCATAATTAACGATAGTTTCTAAACAAAATTGACACACAATCTTTCCTTCCTTCAAAATGCCGAAAGAGCAAACTTATAGTTAACTCTTGAAAACCTTTTTAAAGTGCAGTCTTTCAACAATTGGAAGTTAGAACATATCTTCACCTTCATATATCACATAATTTACTACTGTCTCTAATCAAAATTGACGATCAACCTTTCCTTCCTTCAAAGTGCTAGAAGAACGAATTCAAAGTTAACTTTTGAAATATTTTTTAAAGTCCAGTCTTTTAAAAAACTGCAGTTTGAACAGACGCTGTTCGACCTTCATATATCGCGATTGTCTCTAATCAATTGACACACAACCTTTCCTTCCTTCCAAATGCCAGAAGAGCAAATTTAAAGTTAACTCTTGAAATATCTTTTAAAAATTAAATCTTTCAACAATTGGAAGTTAATACGCTGCTCCACCTTCATGTATCATAATTCACGGCTGTCTCAAATCAATATTGACGTACAACCTTTCCTTCTTTGAAAATGCTAGAAGTGTAAATTTAAAGTCAACTCATACTTTTAAATTATTATTATTGTAAAATTGAATGTTATTTGATAAAAATAAAAATAAAATAAAATAAACTTATTTATAATCATTGTAAGTGATTTTATTTTTGACTTATATCTAGAATGCCTTATATAAAGTTTAACGTAAGACTCCAAAATCTTAAGGTCGCCCATATTTTTACTTGTACTTCCAGTGATTGGAATATGTTGCATTGTACATGTCTAGTCTTAAGTTTTAATTTCTATTATTTTCTTTCAATTGTAATACATATTTTTGATCTCGTGGTGGTTTGAACAAAAAAGATGAAGAAGAAAGCAAATAATGTGTTTGTTTTTTCTATTTCTATCTTTCTTTCTTTCTTTTTTATTTTTATTTTTTTAAATTTAAATGTTTATTAATCTTATCCTTGTAAATTCATTGTTGACAACCAAATTGACAATGGCATCCATTGAAAACCAATGACGCACAAAAACTAAAATGTCGGAAACATGCTGCCCCTAAAAAAAAAAAAGGACCAAGTTTCTACATGGTCATAAGTGGACTAATGGTGCAATATTCCCTTGTCCTTTACAATAAACATCTTTAGTTGTTCATCTGAAAAAATAAAGCCTGATTTATTTTATTATAATTTATGCACGATGATTTCTGCTAACTATAACATAGATGTTCTAAGTCATAAAATGAAATATACAAGGGGATCTCAAACTTGCCACTGGACATTACACATTTACACAATTTATTTAAAACAAACTCAGTAGGCCCGATTTGGAGTCCTAAATTGCGAAAATTATTCAATCTCTGGTGATACTTGAGATGTAGAATCCGTGTTTTTCATCTCTCTTTTATTTTGTGCCTGCTTCAGCATTTTCATCTTATCTTTTCCATCCTCTAGTTGACGTACTTTCTTGCTATCCAGTAACAATATTGACCACATCATGAGAAACGAGTGAATGGACGAAAGAAAAAGAAAATATTTAAGAAAGATGGAGGTTCTTATTTTAGCATTTGAATGCAGTATTATCTCAGTTATTGCTGGTTATTATCAACGTGCTGGCTCATGTAATGGGACTATAAAGTCATTCTTCTTCCATTTTTGGTTTAAAACTGGTAAAAATCTAATTTCACTTGTTCCTTTGGACAATTTTTGCTTTAGCTGAAAGGTGTACCTTTGGTTCTCTTGGACACAGGTAGCAAGATGCTGCATCTCGTTTGGAGATATTTCCTGTTGTTTTATTCCTATTCTTGGTAGGCCTAGGGATATCCTTGGACATAGCTATAGATCCGACTTCAATGCGTAGAGAGACATCATTAGATCCACAGCTCTCCTTCTCTTCCATTGCTATATCAAGCAGTCTCTTCCTCATCCCATTTGTTTGGTGACCACTAACTGCCTCAATTTGCTTGTACCTTTGGTCTTCCATCATGGCGTTTTCTGGCAGACGAGTTGCAATCCATCGTTCTAGCTAGCTCCAGCGCACACTGGTTTCGTTACTGTTGGATTTGATTTGTTTTTTCTTCGAGCAGATTCTTAACTACATACAAATTAGGTAAACACAAAATCAGTGCACATTCTTTCTCCAATACATCCAATTTCTACTGCTTTGCCTATACCTGGAGCTCTCTCGTGCCCTGTTGCTACTTCTAGCTTGTTTTGAATTCTCATTTTTGATATAACACTACTTACTGTGCTATCATCCCAGTCTTCCTGGACAAGTTGACAGTAGAATTATAAATTTGTTTAGGTTAATACTTTCGACTCAAAAACTTTGCTGCTGAAAAAAAGAAAGAAATAATAATAATAACGTTAGAGTTATGTTCAAAGTGTAGTACTCGACAAGAGTAGACATTAGAGTAGACAATATTTTAATTTCTTTTACTTCATTAATACTGTCCTATACAATAAGATTGAACTTAGCAAAAAAGTCATAGATGTTATCAACTGCATTATCAGGAGGGTTTCACACCTTGCACAAGAAAACCAGTGTCAAATTTCTAGATCGCCTTAAATTCTACAATAGTTCTTTCACTAAATTTTCCATATCACTGGTTGGATCAGATTCACGAGATACTATTATATGAGATAAACTGAATTCTGTTAGCCATTTAGTATGTTCCTTCAATTATCTTACAGTCCAATGATATATCCCTTCTGCGGTATTATATCTTAGCATATGATAAGCTAAGTTATAGCCCCAGAAAAAGGGTAGGGGGATTTTACATTTTGGAATTCCAGTTGTTGTACCTGTAGCTTGAGCAATTGGGCTCTACTTCTATGTCATGCTGGATGGTGCACAGACATGCTTTCTTCTTGGAAAGAGAAAATGTCGGAATTTCCAGTTTGAACTTCAATTGATGTGCCCATAGACTCTCTACTTGGACTTCCTACAGGATCTGCTTTACAATATTGCAACTTCATTCATTCATTAGCTCGTCAGGCCTGAAATTTTAAGCACTCAAAACAACTCAAATGGAGTATCCAGAAAATACTTCACTTAAAGAAACGACATTTATCCATGGAGATCAACATTCTCTAAGTTCTTGTTTAATTGTCTTTCCAAGTACATGCGCACATTCATTTTCTTGTACAAGTATCATCAAACATTTGCATATATTACGATACTATAAAGATTATTTACGTGTAAATCTCCACATAAAGTTGATGCATATATGGTGAGTGTATTGACCAGAAATCTTCTAAATGCCGACTGAATGATCATTGCAGCATCTTCTTGCTGAAAAATTTTGTAGGTTGAGTTTTGCTTTTCCTTTGGACTTCAATTCTTCACCTCATTGCTTTCAGCATCTGCTTGGTCCTTGAAATCTCCTGCCAATGGTTGATTAACAGTGGCCTCAGAGCTTCTAATAGAAGCCGTCTCCGCCTCTGCATAAACTGAAGTAAATTCACCTTCATCAATTGCAGGTGTGAAGCTCGATAAATCATCATCTGCAACTACTGAACTCCATCTTTTCTTTTCCACAGCATAACTCCTAGCCTGATTACAATAAATTCTCTCAAACTTTAGTTACTAATTTCAAACCAAATCAAAACAAATCCAGGCATATGTACAATTTACTATCAGCATTCTGTGAGTTAAATTATCAAACAACTTGAATGCAATTAACTTACATGGCTGTCACGCATTTGCAGAGAGAGGCTTTTCGAGAACGCTTTTCTAATTGGTTCCCCTGTGATTCCCATCTCAGTTAATCCCTTAGCAGAATTCTTTGAGCCCCTTTTCAAGGAAACACTACAATTATATAGAAAGAGGAAAAAAGAAAGCTTCAGCTACAAAATGGTGGTCCTGCTCCCTCTGCAGACTCATGTAGATCATCAATAAAAAAAGCAACCAGTACTTAATGATATTTAGCTGGAACTGAACCAAAACATCTGCCATATTTGCAGAAATTTAGAGCTGGAATTGGAGGCTTTAAATTGCAATAGTAAATGTACAATTGTAAAGCATAGAGTATGTAGAAAGGAGGGATTTGAAGGTCCCATAACTTTATGCACATGGCTGACACTATATTGGATTTTTATTAAAGTTTGCTTGCAACAGGGACTATGCCAATTCCTTTGGAGTTGATAGATTATTTTTATTTTTATTTTATTTATTTTTGGTGGCAGTTTGGGGTACCAAAAGCGCACGCTTGGCTAAGCTTAAAGAATTTACTCATAAGTAAATTTTAAGGTAAATAAATCTTTTTTACGTAAGTAAATTTTATAGTGAATAACTATTTTTCGGTAGTCTCGGCGGAGAAAAGTTACTAAGAATATGTTCGGTAGAAATTTTGAGAATTGATTTTTTTATTGTTAAGAGAAAAGCGGGGGCTGCCCGTGAGAGTAAAAGTAAAAAATTACAACTAGAACAGTGAAATAACGATAAAAACATCAATTTTTTGATAGTTAAAAATCACTTCCAAACAGGGCCTAAAATTTATATCATAATAAAACAAATATTTTCTATTATTTAATAAAAAAAATAAAAAAGTCAGTGTACTGATTCGAATTTGGTCCCACCCTTTCCCTTTTATGGCTTTGCTACAAATACGGAGTTTTATGATAGGTTTATAAACAAGGGAGACACGTGTTATTCAAGGATTGGACAGTTAAAAAAAAAATCCAAGCAGCGACGTTATTATTATTATTATTATTTTTTATCCCTGTAAGCTATTCCTATCACCATATCTTTATCCTTTTAATAAGGGCCTAAAATTCCCAAAACCTACCGGGCTATTCTCGTTTTTTTGTGCCGCATTCTTTTTCATAGACATGTGTCGGATTTATTTAATTAAATTAGTTATATATATATATATANTACTCATAAGTAAATTTTAAGGTAAATAAATCTTTTTTACGTAAGTAAATTTTATAGTGAATAACTATTTTTCGGTAGTCTCGAAGGAGAAAAGTTACTAAGAATATGTTCGATAGAGATTTTAAAAATTGATTTTTTTATTGTTAAGAGAAAAGCGAGGGCTGCCGGTGAGAGTAAAAGTAAAAAATTACAGTTAAAACAGTGAAATAACGATAAAAAAATCAATTTTTTGGGAGTTAAAAATCACTTCCAAACGGGGCCTAAATTTTATATCATAATAAAACAAATATTTTCTATTATTTAATAAAAAAATAAAAAAGTCATTGTACTGTTTCGAATTTGGTCCCACCCCTTCCCCTTTTATGGCTTTGCTACAAATACAGAGTTTTATGATAGGTTTATAAACAAGGGAGACACGTGTTATTCAAGGATTGGACAATTTAAAAAAAATAAATCCAAGCAGCGACGTTATTATTATTATTATTATTTTTTATCCCTGTAAGCCATTCCTATCACCATAGCTTTATCCTTTTAATAAGGGCCTAAAATTCCCAAAACCTACCGGACTATTCTCATTTTTTTGTGCCGCATTCTTTTTCATAGACATGTGTCGGATTTATTTAATTAAATTAGTTTTATATATATATATAATGGTTATATTTTATCTTTTTATGTAAAGTAGAAAAAAAAATTTATTCGTAAATTTCATATCCAGTTGAGTCCGAAAAATTAGTCGAGTATGCTCGGTCTTTTGAATAGTTTTCTTGATGTTTGATCGGATTGGTTTTTATCCAAAAATATGTTGGTTTGACCTATGTTTACCAATTCATTCCAACAACTAGGAAGCTTCAGTCTGCACCGGAAGACTAAAGTTTTCTTAAGCTAAAGTTGGTAGTTAGAAGAATTGATGCTATTAATCTTCACTACTATTACACCTCCAAATAGCAAAGTTTTCTTCCTTGCATTAAATGCTAGTGACATTCTGGGCAGTATCTCATTATAAATGTATCATTGCAGTAAGTCGAAGCTTAGCCAATTAAAAGTCAGCTTCTGTGTAAAGCAAGATATAACTATCTTTATTTTCGTTATTTAGTACTTTTATGTGGTTAGCAAAATGTTAATCATATTTGTGCAATTTACCTTTTAAAGAAGCTTTACAGACTATGGGGTCGATCCTGATTATAAGAGGTGTAGGCAATAGCCTAAAGCCCCATATTGATGAGGGTCTCAAATTATGTAACGTTAATTGACTGGTTGAAGAAAAACGAAAATTATAAATACGAAATTCTTTAAATTAGAATTATCATATGCAAACACCATAAATTAATAAAATTTGTAAATACAAAGATATCCAAAAAAATCATAGAAATAGTATAAAATTTATTTCATACATTTATGTATCACATAAATATATCACATACATCATTTTCTCTATATATAATTAATTTGACTATTTATCTTCGCAACCATCATTTTTCTTTTTTCTTAACAAAAATCAAGACTACGGATTAAGAAGCAAAATCAAGAACAAGAATTAAATAATCAAAAGAAGAAAAATTCAAGATTAAAAGTGAAGAAACCAAACATGAAAAGATTACAGTTTAAGCTTCATGATCCATGATCCGGAATCAAAATCTAGTAATAAGGAATTATTCTAAATGAATTAAGGTATGTTCTACATTAATTATTATTATTATTATTATTATTCTTTTTTAGGTGATTTGATGCGGAGATCTTGATAATTCATAAAGTTTTAAGAAGTTTAAGTTTCGTAAAAATTCAACACTTTTTACTTATAATTTCCAGCCGAAAATTTATTACATATTTATATTTTGTAAGGGTTAAACTTTACACTAAGATATACCACAGTTAATAATCACACGTTATGGCATTATTATAGGTAGAAACCCATTATAACATGGGGGTTTGAATGTGAAAAATGAAAAAAAGAACATGACCTGTTTTCTTTTATTTATTTCGTTTCGTTATTTATTTATTTTTTTTTAAATTAAATGCTTATGTAAAATACTGTTTTATCTACCAAATTGACAAATAAAATTCATTGAAACCCCAACAACTCTAAAATGTAAAATTTAGAGAGCATTATTGTCAAAAAATAAGTGTTAAAAACCGGGTGAGGAAGGAAGCAGCTGAAGCTTACGGCAAATCGAACAGGGGATTTACTCAGGGGCGGACCCAGACCTTTAGTATTGTGGCGTCAAAATTTTAAAAATAAATTTCTTTAATAAACAACATAATATCAATGAAAATAAGTTAATATGTATTTTGACACTTTGAAAACGTCGTATAATTATATAATTATTAATATTATTAAATAAATTTTGCTACTTCTATAGTTTTGTTTATCATTTTATTGGCAAATGCTGAGATAACATTGAGTAAATTAAATTGAATATATAAATTAAATGAATTGAAATAAAATTCAAATTTAGTTCAGAAAGTAAATGAAATTCAAATTTAACGCAAATATAATTCGAAAGTAATTCAAATTGCATTTAATCCGTAACGATCATAAAAAAATTACGTCATATTTCATGTAAGACTTCCGAATGAAACGATATAAATTATATTGAAAAATTTATCATGCACAAATAATAATTAATTGAATTTTTTAAAAGAAAAAATGAATTAGACGTTTTTTTAGGCGTACATTTGATACATATTTAACTATTTTCGATATTCGTTTGGACCATTCGATATGAAAACAATGTAGTTTTCGAAACAAACTTTACATGGTATAGACGATTTGAGGATTCAGATAGCACATGATCCTAAACGAATTTTTAAAGTTAGAATATTATCGAAATTCTCAAAATACTAGTTTCAAGCGGTCTACTTTAACATGACATAACTTTTGCTATAGTTGACCACTTCGCATGCCATTAATGAGTGAAAAATTAGGCCATGAGCACTTCGAAATGGTATTAAAAATGAAATATTTTGACTTCATTTGACATCCCGACGAGTGCATCAAAATAGATTGTAAAAAACAAAAACAAAAGAGCAAAATTTTGTGGGGTCATTTGATCCCACATGACCCCATGTGGATCCGCCCTTGGATTTACTCTTCCCGATATAATTTAGGTTAAAAAATTAATTCTTTCATCAATTACTAATCACTTGGTAGAATTAATTGATTTAAAAAACAAAAATTGGTTGATCGTAAAAGCAAAAAATTGACACTACACCATTAACAATTGTATATATTCCTTGAACCGTAGTAGAGTCTTAACCAAATTCAAGATATAAAGGTTGTCATGATCATATCTAACCCAATTTGATCGACTCACCATTGCCTAGCAAAGTCCAATCAATTAATACATATCCATCTTGCAAAGTGTACGCTCCCAAAAAATACAGGCGTAACACAAGTAATTTGGATAGTAGATTGATTAAATATATTCACACCATATTTTTTTAATAATTATATTGCATGAAAGGTTTAAGAACTTTACTCAAAATAAATTTTATAAATTAGATTTTTTCTTTGCATTCTTATTCTCAAATTAACACATATGTTCCCCAGTGACGTTTTATGTACAAATTTCTTTAAGATGAGGTAAAACGAGTTATTTGTCCCTCTATTTTTTAAATAAGCCAAAGAAAAAAAAATACAAATTAAGACTCAATATTTATCCCTTGTTTCAAAGCACACTAATATTATTTTACGGCAAAAATTATCTATTTATCCCTCATATTAAAATAAGCAAATTATATTTTTCTGCAAAAACCATGCTAGATAATGAAATGTTGAAAATAAAGATACAAAGAAACGTGTAGACCTATTAAAAAGTCTGTGAGCCCATTGGATTTTTAAATCCTATAGGAAAAGAGAAAAATGTTTGAGCAAGTAAAGATCTGTGAAACAAAATTGAGTAAAGGTAGAAAAAATTAGGGTAGCTCTATTTACATCCACGCTTTTTATAAGTATATCCACTTTTAAAAATAAAATTTTACTATATTTTAATTCATATATAAATTTACTTAAATAGACATAAGTATTAATAAAATCCACACCCATTTGTTGAATCAATTACTTCAATTCTACCCAAATCATCAAAATTATATCCTGCCGGACGGCAAATTATTATTGGCAGCCGACTACTGTTCAGTTCTGAGTTTTACCAACAAACCCCAGCAATTCCTTTGTTATTCTTCTTCATTTTCTCATTCTTCTTTTCCATTTTTTTCAAAATCAAATGATGGCTGGTGACTG